CTAAGAGTTCCAAGAGTTCTAAGAGTTCCATGAGTTCTAAGAGTTCCTAGGGTTCTAAGAATTCCATGAGTTCTAAGAGTTCCAAGAGTTCCTAGGGTTCCATGGGTTCTAAGAGTTCCAAGAGTTCCCAGGGTTCCATGAGTTCTAAGAGTTTCATGAGTTCTAAGAGTTCCTAGGGTTCTAAGAGTTCCATGCGTTCTAAGAGTTCCAAGAGTTCCTAGGGTTCCATGGGTTCTAAGAGTTCCAAGAGTTCCTAGGGTTCCATGAGTTCTAAGAGTTCCATGAGTTCTAAGAGTTCCTAGGGTTCTAAGAGTTCCATGAGTTCTAAGAGTTCCAAGAGTTCCTAGGGTTCCATGAGTTCTAACAGTTCCAAGAGTTCTAAGAGTTCCAAGAGTTCCTAGGTGTTAGCGGGTTCACCTCCTTGTTGTTACTTTTCTATGTTTTTTTCTCTTTTCTTTCTCTTCTTGTTGTTAGATCTTTCTGATGTTATATAACCTTGATCACTCTTATTATTTGTCCTTAAGTTTGATCCGTGATCTAGGTAGTCGAGATATACATATATATATCTTGTTTTTTCTCTACACGGAGCAGATAGTTGTATGGTTTGTACGTGTGCGTACGGACATTTTTTGGATTTGAAATAAAGTAAAAGGTCGAACATCAGACCTCTAATATTTGGTGCCGTGACTGATTATTTTTATTATATTAACAATAATAAAAATCTTACCAGAGGACATTCCAAAGTAGGAGTGACCTGTATAATTTCAATACTTCAAAGTTGGCTAAAGAGGAAATTCATTTCGAATTTCCTGATAAGAATAAAAGTATTCTACGATCAATTTATTGCTTATATAAGTAAAGTATTCAATCGTCAACGACGGCTTACAATTTACGAGGTGTTGATACGGGTCCTGAATTAAACGGTGACTTATTGACAGAAACATCCGAACGTACGGTTAAGAAATTAACATTGGAACTATTAAGTAATACTACTGAACACGCACATCAATATATTACAAAGATGCCTAATAACGTACAAGACTCAGCGATGATGGTATGCTATCGAGAATGTTTATCGAATTTAGAAAAATTCCATGGTGGTGAAGATCAAAAAATTTTACAATTCATTAATAATATTGAAAGAATTGGAAGAATGATCGATGCAAATGATGATATTCTACACTGTATGTGCACAGCAAAATTAGATGGAGAAGCGAAACGCTGGTATGAAGATAACATGACATTAGTCCAGTGGGAAAATTTAAAATCAGCACTACTAGAAAGATTTACAACATCGGATTCATCATCAAAAATTTTTGAACAACTAAAAGAACGCAAACAGAAATCAGATGAAACAATCACATCGTACTATGACGCCGTTATTAAATTATGTCGAGAATATGATTCTTCGATGTCACAAAAAATAATGATATCATGGTTACAAAATGGAATAAAGGATTCATTGAAGACTCAAATTAAACGGCAAATGAAACTATTACCTGAATCAGCACGAACAAGTCAAGCATTCTTAAAAATTGCTAAGGATGAACAAGAATTACTAGAAGAAGATTCATCTGAACAACAAGCAGCACAATCTTATTTGCCGTACATCATGAATACCGTATCAACAACATTTAAAGAAACGCGAACCAACTCCGACACAGTACCAACATCTACTTATTCGTCACAACGATATCCAAGATATAAACAGAATACACAATATACTCCATCATCGGAACTTTCAACTTCATTAAAGTCGAAACCCAAAAGTCAAAATTTACTTTCACAACCACCATCCATTTTACGTAAACAGGAACCACATTATCCATCAGTTACTAATTCCCAACGTCATCAAGCAGCAAATGTTAAATCTTATGCATCTACACAACATCACTCCCAACGACGTCCATGTGATGTATGCCAACGCATTAATCACCGAACAATTGATTGCTATTATAAAAAACCATATGGATGTTTCAAGTGTGGGCAGCCTGATCATTACATACGTGACTGCCCACAGGTTTTCTACTAGCTGGAACCCATGATGGTGGTCACTCCAGTAGTAAAAAAAAATCCATCAACAACGAATTATACATCATCCATATTATCAACTCCTATTCACATACAAGTTCAAGTAAACAATAAACAACATCAAGCTATTGTCGATACTGGATCTGCGGTCACCATTATTAACCAACAATTATTAAAAAAGATTTATCATAAAGAATTTATTTACAAGAAGAAATTACACAAATCAGCAAATTGTTCATCTATTAATATTATTGGTGAAATTCAACTTGAAATTAAAATACAAGGGTATAAAACTTTAATTTTGGCGGATGTTGCAACTAATCTTATTACTGATTTGTTACTTGGAAATGATTGGATTACGACAAATAATGTTATTATCGATTCACCGCAACAATGCATTTATCTTACTAATCCGAAACGGCATATTTTAGCGACAGCAAAATTCGTTAAACCTCCACATTTCCAACTGCCCGTACTATTAACCGATGAAATTACTCTTTCACCAAACTCCGAAAAATGCGTTAACATCAAAGTATTATCACCAACAGTGAATATATCCGAAGCTTTATTTGAACCAGCAGCATATTTATATCCGAAACAAATCTTACTCACGAATGCATTAATTAAATTCAAAGACAATAGCAGTTACGTTATGATAATGAACGCAAATGATCGTCAGAAAACATTATCGAAAAATACAACATTGGGATATATTTCACATCAATCGGAAGTAAGTAATTATCTTATTTTACCTGTATTATTAGGAAAACATGGTGATGGGTCTGCATTTCCAACAACAAGCTCTTACAGGAGGAACAAATCCCTTGTGGATCGTTCCTGGGTTCCACCAACAAATGACAAAAGGAAAGTTCAATCTATGGACTTAACCTGTCGAATGGACCACCAGAATGAACAACAGCCTGAATGTTATGTCTGCCACGAACAATTTATATCACGTAATGATTTACAACAGCATTTACGGCAAAAATGTTATCCACCAGAAATGCGAGAACAGATCGGAAAATTAACTCAGCACATTGAAGACAACAAACAACGACAACAACTACAACAGATTTTATGGAAAAATGGCAAACTATTTGATCTTCGTCAACCGTCCATCATAAAAGCTACTGTACATCATGCCATCGAAACTGGTACTCACCCACCAATTTATACTCCACCATATCGTGTTTCATACAAAGATGAACAAATTCAAAGAGAAGAAATCGATAAGTTACGCAAACAAGGCATAATTGAAGAATCTACATCACCATGGTCATCTCCAATCGTACTGGTACGTAAAAAAGATGGTTCTGTTAGATTTTGTATTGATTTTAGGAAATTAAACAACATTACTACGAAAGATGCATTTCCCATGCCTCGAATCGACGATATTTTTGATCATTTATCACAAGCTGAATACTATACAACTATCGATTTCAAGTCAGGCTACTTTCAAGTTGGACTCGATCATAAGGATTGTCCAAAAACAGCCTTCTCAACAAGAGATCAACATTATCAGTTTACAGTATTACCTCAAGGTGTTACAAATGGTCCACCAGCATTTCAACGCATCGTTAGTCAAATACTTGGACCCACAAGATGGCAATATACATTAGCCTATCTCGATGATGTTATAAAATATTCACCAACATTTGACCAACATCTAATCCATCTCGATGATATTCTTAACCGATTAAATGATGCAAACTTTCGTCTTAATGTTAATAAATGTCAAATAGCAAAAACATCGATTGATTACCTCGGTCATCACATTGAACACAGCAATATTAGACCAAACGCCGACAACATTCGTGCTTTACTCGAAACTCAACAGCCAACAGCAGCAAAAGAAGCATTTCGATTTGTCAAAGCTGCTGAATATTATCGTAAATTTATACCTGGATTTTCTACTATTGCACAATCTTTACATAAATATGCACCCACTACAAAAGAACAACGATCACAAAAATCACAAGCTACACCCATCATTTTATCTCATGATGAACTTCATGCATTTAATGAATTAAAACGGATATTGACCAATGATTTGGTATTACGTATTCCCAATCCACATTTACCATTTAAGATACAGACCGACGCATCCAAAATTGGAATTGGAGCTGTACTTATGCAAACTTATCCAAATGGTGATCTACCGGTAGCTTATTTATCAAAAAAATTTACAACAACACAAATGAATTGGCCTGCA